CTTTAAGACCGTTGATATTGTGTATCACTATATTTAATATACTGAAGTTTGTTGTGATTTGTTTTTGACTAAAAATTTCTTGTGTTGTTATGCAAGTTTTCCTTCTTGCTTGGACAAGGATCTCTTTAATTTAACTGATGCGAAAATTAGGAGCGATTTGGAGATTTTATCCCTAAATCTCTAATTCTTTCCTCCAAATTTTGTATTAATTGAGCTATCTGATCTAAAGATCTGTTATAATTTGTATGAGAGTTTTGTCTATTCTTTTCTCCCTTTTCGTTACTTCTTAATTTCTTTTGAGAGCTACATCTCTTTTCTCTTTTGAGTCTTCCTTCTTCACTATAACTTGAATAAGTCTGAGCTCTTCTATACTTGTTCTAACTTTCTTTATGTTTATTTAAAACTTGACTAATTAAGTCTTCTTGTGAGTAGCTCTCTCTTCTTTGTGCTCTTTCTTGCACGAATTTTGAGCATTCACCTTCTTGTTCTTGCTTGATCTCTTTTCTTTTCCCTAAACTTTTTTTGCTTCTTCTTGTGACTACTTCACTTTCTATATAGTCTTTAGATCTTTGGTTCATTAGAGGTTCTTCTTCTTAGTCTCGTGTAATCACCTATCTTAGCTTATTGTTGTAGTAGTATATTGAGAATTCAGAGATATTTATCATATCTTCTTAATTTTCAAAATATACTGTTGTACTGCTTCTATTATTGTTATTGTCATTTTGGAAGATATGCAGTGCCTTGGTTCCAGATTTCTTGACTTGTCTCCAAAGTAATACTTTATTTGTATTCTCTGGTAAATTTAGGAGTCTTTTGCTAAACCTGTTTCTTATATGCAGTGATTCAAAGTTGTTAGTACCTGCTGTTACCTTTACTAATACCTAGTTTGCAAAAGGCAGACACTAAATTTCGTTCTTTTTCTTTATATCAAAGGTGCCTGCTTTAAATTCAACCTCTGCTTGTATTCTATCTTTTGCACTTTTAATTATTTCTATATGTTCTACTCTTCCTATAAACCGAACTAACTCAAAAACTTGAGTTCTTCTAGCCTAGTTTGGTAAATCTCAGACTGTTATCATATTTTCTTCTCTGTTTTTAATTTGAATTTGTATAGACTCGTTGGGTTTTAAAATTTTCATTACTTGTAATTTTTGGTTGCTCTGGAGTGATTGGAACCTTCTTTTTCCTTCTTATTAAAACTTCTTCTAATTCTGCTTTCGCCTGTTCTTCTCTTTTTTCTTTAATATCTGTGGAGTTAATCTTTATATCTTGGCTATCTGAGGGTTGACTAGCTAATTCTTCTTCTGAGTTCTCTTCGCAAATTAGTTTGGCTTGCTCATGCTCTTCTTTCTTGTTTTCTAGTTTCTTCTTCACTTCTTCATAGCCTTTTTCACAGTCGAAAGTTAAGTTTCACTACAGATTGCCTTGCTCAAATTTTTCAGATATTTTTTTAAGATAGACATTTCTGCCTATTGACTATCTTAATGACTTTTCTCTATGACTTGCATTATTTCCAAGTACTTTTATAGCTGCTACTTTTGCCCTTATAAACTTTTTTCATTCGTACCTGTCTTTACTTAGTGCCCAGATACTTTTTTTGAGAGAGGAATCTGACTCTGCTGGTAATATATCCTCTTCAGATTTTTCTGTGATATCCGAGTATAGATTTGAATTTGATTTAAAGCTTTCTTTTCCTTGTTCTTGAATTTCTTTAATATCTTCTATTAAACTATTATCTTCTTTGTCTTTTTCTTTCGCTAAAAGATGTCTTTCTAATAGGACTTGTTCTTCTTCTGTGCTGTCACCTGTCTTTAGGGAATTTGCTTGATCTAACATTTCTATATCTGATTTACTCTCATTTTCCAGTACTATTAGATTATCTCTCCTTACTATTGTATTCTGAGTTACTTGTCCTAGTACTAATTTAACTCTATCGATTCCTTCTGTCATTGCTGCTCTCTCTATTACTTTCTTCTATTCTCTTGCTACTGTTACTATATTGCTGTCTACTTCTAAAATTTCTGCAATCATTCTATCTATATGGTCTTCAAGGCCCATTACTGCATCACTTCCTTCGGCAATTATTTCTTTGCCATATTCTTTTGTTACTATCCCCACTAGTCTTGTTGCTTTGGCTCTGTTCTACATATTTTCTAATTCTACTTTCTTTTAAAATGATCTTGTCTTTTTTCAGTAATTCCCAGTAACTTTTCCTGATTACTTATGAGCTATCTGGTTTTGGTTTTGCATATATTATTTCTAATATTCAATATGTGATACGTAGATTTTCCTATAACATATTTTGTTTACCTTAGTTCACACATGATTATACTATGTCAAATGATCTGCATCTCAGGATTTGTTTGAATCCCCAAAAATCTAAAAAAATATATTGATATCTATTCTAAAGTCCAAACTTCTTTAATATTTTGAGTTTCTTTAAACCTTTTTTCTGTTCTTCTATTTCGTTATAGTGTTTTTGAGTTTTGAATCTTTTTTCTTAGAAGATTTTACTATATTTTATAAGCTATTTAAGAAGTTTTTTATAGATTATTCTTTAGCTCAAATTTTGGTAAAAATGATCTATGGAAAGAGTTGAGTGGAATTGAGTTTTCAATTTGTAGAAAAGTAGAGTTTTTATAAGTTTATTAATAGACTATTATCTAATTTTATAGTCAGTGATGATATGATAAAGTGAAATATTATAAGCATTTATAATAAAAGAAAGATGCAAATTAAAAATATACTTAAAAATATCAAAGACAAAATCTCTCTTATTTGTGATTCCTGGATATCATTTCAACAACTTAGATACTTGGCAATTACTAGCCATTTTTTTGATAAAGAATAGAATTATATTTCTATTCTATTGTTATTCATATTAATTTTTTATCTATACACTAGTATTAATATTGCTAATTTTATAAAGGCTAAAATAGATAAATAGTCTATTACCACTAAGGTAATTATAGTTTAATTTTAACTAGTATTATTAACTTTAAGATTAGAGTAATTTTAAGGTTAGAGTTTAGTAGAATTGTGAATTTACAATATGTATTATAACTTTATATAATTTATTATAGTTGCAAACTATTACTCTTAATAATATGTTTTCAAATAATGTTGTGATATATAAACTAGCTAATAATATCTCTTAAGACTTATTTACGAAAATAAATAAAGATCTTTTTTATAACTAGTGTTTTGCTTATATATTACATATTATTGTAAAAACTAGTTTAAAGGAAATATTAGAGGTTACAAAAAAGGTAATTTTATATTTATTTAGTATAGTGCAAGTATTCTAGTTCTATTAATATTTTAAAAGGTTTAATAAAGATTTAATTAATATATATATATATTAAAACTATATTGTATTGTTATAAATTATTTGATACAATTAGACCAATTGCATTATATAATAATTTTAATAAATAATATAAGAATAATAGTTTCATTAAAATTGTTTAGATTCGTAGTTGTACTAAAGCAATATATACATCACCAAAGTAACAGCAAATTTTCTTAGATATTTGTAAATCTGAATATGTAAAATCTGCAATTCTACTATTAGATTGTAAGACCTATTAGAATTCTACATACTTGATGTTGCGATTAGTTACTGAATTTTTTTTTTTTTTACTATTTAAAGAGGGAGTTCTATATCCCGATATTTATTTATTTAAGACTTATAACCTATATTTAGATAGGAGGGTACTACATTTTGCATATCAATGAGATCACAATTAGCCACATGTACAATTTTAGTCATTGTCTATTTAAAAGTTCTGCTCAAAGATTATCTACTAACTGCTATATCTAAGATCTGTTTGTAGATTCTTTAATTAAGCCCTCTGATTTTTAATACTTTTTCTGTAATACTAACTTAAATATATGGCATATTCAGAACTATGGACTACTTTACCCATGAACTAGGCCTCTACCTCAGAATATTCTATGCCCATTTCATAGTCTATTCAGGGATTTGTACCTTTGTTGATATTCATACAAACCCAGTTCTTACTGTGGCTCTCTACCAATAGTCTTCAAATGTTTTACAAGGAGATCCTCCCAAATTCAATTAGCTACTAAGCTAGTTTGGTATTGCCATTTCTCCCTGTGAAATAGACTTACTCGCACCTACTCGATCTGCATTTTCGTACTACTGGATCAAGTATTAACCAGTATAACTGTTAAAATCTATACTACTTCACCAAACTCAGGATTTCTACTATGCAGGTCCTTTGCTCGTAGATCTTATCAAGATTTATTTGTATAATGTTATGTCTCTCCAAGCATCATATTATACTTCCAATATCTGATTGATATTAGTATAACATGATTTATAGGATTACAACATCAGAAACGAACAGAGTTTACTGTAAGTTGGATACAAAGGTCTAGATAATTATTCAAATTCATCAGCAGTGGGATTTGAATCCCAGACCTCTTATATAGTGGTCTGACAATCTAACCACTATACTAAGATCACCAGATCTCATTAGTTACTGAATTTAGAAATATAATTATTAAAATAAAAGATAGAGATAAAACGTTCTCTGATATATCTGATGATAATGAATAGAGAAATATAAAAGCTGTCTGTGATATTTTAAAACCATTTTATGTTTATAAGTTTCTTTTTAATAAAGTTGCTAATGAATGGATTAGTGGATTATTGAATTCTTCTATATAGTTTTTAAAAATTAATATAAAATTAATAGTGCTATTAGTAATTATATAGTACAAATCTAATATATCTTTTTTTTTAATTTTTAACAAAAATTAGTTACTTTAAAAGTATCAGCAAGTTCCTATCTAACTCTTAATTATACTCTTACTTTGATTTTAAATATTCATACTCATCTTCTGAGTATGAAGTCTGATACAAATAATTTTATTCATAATATGTATCAAAGTATGATAAAGAAGTTTAATAAGTATTAAAAAACTGCAGCATTTTACATATGATTGCTTGTATATTTGATCCTCGTTATAAAATGCAGTTTATTACATATTATTATTATGAAAAGGAAAAGTTAGAAAATTATGAGTTTAATGAAAAACTACAAGACATTCAAACAAAGTATGTTTATTAATTTTTAATAAATATTCTTTATATAGTATATGTTAAAATACTAATATTAAAATCAGATTTGAAGATATATATCTTTATACATATTATCCTTTATCAACTATTGAATATTCATCAAATAATAATGAGATAATTGTTGATACTGAAACTGATACATTAATGTTCGAGGACCATGTTGATGATTTTTTTAAATATGCAGTAAAACAAATACATGCTAGTAAAAATGATCTGCTTCATGAAATAAAACAATATTTGGAAAAACAAATTGCCATACGAACTACTAATATTTTTGAATGGTGAAAATGTAATAAAGCCAATTTCCTATTTTATTTGCAATAGCTCAAGACTTTTTTTTTATACTTGCTACAAGTGTTGATTCTGAATAAATATTTAGCTATATAGGTCATGTTATTGATGATAGTTGCATCTTATTAGATCTAGACACTGTAACTGCATTGATGTGTCAAAGAAATTAGTTAGAGGTAATTGAAAAATTTGGTTAGAATTTATAAATTTATTTTAGAACTGCTATAATAAAATGCAATTAACTTTGAATGTAATACTTTTTAGTCTTAATATATATATATATATTGCTTTTTAATTACTAAATTAGTAAGTGATTATAATAGTGTATAACTATAATTAGCAAAAATACTTCTTTATAATTGTTCTCCTAATAATTTATACTTGTTTTATAAGTTGAATTTTACCTATTTTTATATTTATAGTACTGGTTTAAGTTTAATTAATACTCTCTCATGTTGTAACACTAGTTAGTAGTCTTATATAGGTTACTAGTATAATTGCCAGAAAATTAATTTCAAAAAAAATATAATTACAGTATTTGAACTAGATTTTGTCATAATGCTATAATGCCACAATGCTGTAATACTACAATACTGTAATATTAAACCTATCTCTTAATATATTAGATAGGTGCAAGAAAATTTGCTTGCAAAAAGTTATAAATATATAGTTTTAAAATTTTTTTTATAAAACTTTATATAATATTTTAATATAATATTTATTAAGATTTATTGTTATTTTTAAACTATAAATTATAAGCATTAATCATTACACTCTCCCTGTAGATTATTTGAACTATTTTCGGAGCTAAAGAAAAAGTGAATTTTTCACAGAAACCTTACTACAAACAAGCTTTAGAGCCACTAGGAAAAAAGAAAGAAGACACAAAAATACAGATAGTATTTTAAGAAGAAAAAGAAAAATAGCAACAACCCGAGGAACTTCAGAAGGTGTTTACTCAAAAAGTCGATACGAAAAACTTTTTTTTTCAAAAGTTGGGAATTTGGCCTAACCCTGAAGCACAGATCAGTTTACATAATACAAATACATATAAAAACAAGAAAACAAACAAGCGTGTAAGCAAATACTAACAAGACATGCTACGTGACAACCAATAGAAAGGCAGCGCGTAAGTCTTAAACCGAAAAATTCACAGGCAAAAAGGAAAATCTACAGAGAATTTAGAAAAAAGCATAAGGTCTTAAAAGCAAACATAGTCCGAAGCCCTAGAACAAAAGATAATACCAGGAAAAATGTGGAGTACAGAAAGCTCTAGATACTTTATTCAAAAGTTAACAAAAGAATATAGGCGAGAAATTATCCAAAAGGGCAGTGTGTCAGTACTAGGATTAGCAGATCACTTTGATAAAATGGTAGCGAAAGCTATGAATATAGATAAGAACATTATTACCTTAGCAAGGCAATGGCGTATTGCACTAGAAAGAGCTACTTTTACAGAAGGAGTAGACAAAGTTAAAGAAGTTTTGGAAAGAGAGCAAGTACCAGTAACTATACAACCAGGAACCGTAAATAAAATAGCAGAAGAGATAAAAATGAGAACTGAAGAAGTATCAGCAATTGAAATAGAAAGCACAAGAGAAGTAGAATCAGATAAATCCACAAGACAGAATATGCAAGATAAGGAAAATTCAGATAGCACAACAAACAAAAAAGGAAAAAGTAAAGCACCGGAGATTATGGAAGATGTCCAACTGGCAGAAAGTAGTATAGAAGATAACTCTTGTAAAAATGAAATAGAAGACAGACTAGAACAACTAGCTGAAATAAAAAAGCTAAGACACAGTAGTGCATCTCTAGAATGTAGTATATGGGTACTTAATCCAGAAGCATGTAAAGACATGAAAGAGATCAAAGCGAAGGTAGCAGCAGTCAAGATTTTAGGAGATAATGCTAAACAAAGAAAAAAGTCAATCAGATAGTCACTTAGAGGAAACAAGCACATTAAAGCAATCCAAGAAAAATTTACGAATGGAAACCAATGGTATGTTATATACTTTGATTGCAGAAAAGAATATAAAGAAGCTAAGTTAAGATTGGAAAAAAAGAAGGATAAATTTGATCAGCTGAATCTAATACTCGAAGAAGAGATTGAAAAAGAAAGTTTAAAGAAGGAAAAGCTCTTGCAAAACAAAAAGAAAGAAAAGGACACAAGAGAGATTCAGGCAAGAAAAGAGCTTGAAGAAATACAAAAGAAAAAATCTACATTATATGACCAGACTGAAAAGGGTGAATGCTCAACTAGTAGTAAAAAGAGGAAAGAAACAATACCCAACCAAAGTGATGAAGGAAAATTAGCTTCAACAAAAGATAAAGGAAAAAGAAGAATATATGAACAAGAAACTCTTCTAAATGAAAAAGAGGATTTAAGCAAAAATAACAACCTCATTAAAGAAAGAGAACTACGGCCATGCAGAGAAGAAACTATCACTATATGGAACATACTATATTACATATCAAGGTTACAAGTCATCTTCACAATAAAACATCTAGGATGAGTTAAAAATATCGAGATGATTAGAGAAAGTCACAGAAAAACAAGAGCAGAAGTTACCTTTGAAGAAGGAAGTAGCTTCATACAAGGAATTGAAGCTTAGGTTATTCCTCTTACAAATGATCTCTTAGTACGTATAACACTAGGACCAAACAGAAAGGAGATTTTAGAAAACTGAAAACAGTTCATAGCAAAGCTATTTAATATTCCACAAAATATAAATGAAGTACTACTGTTTAGACAACTAAAACATACTGGCGCAAGTGCAGTACATATCTTTAAAAATTCAAATGGGAACAACAAAGGCTATGCACTAGTGTCTTTCAGAAACCAACGAGATATGGTCCAAGGAAAAAAGTATTCTGTAAAATATTATGATACTAGACTCTTCTGGGAAGTCTCTGAAGTTGAATTAAACGAAACACACTATACTGAAGAAAGATATAAGCAAAGACGTAATACTCATGAGCCAAGTACAAAAAATTATAGGAGACAGGAATTACTTTCTGATAGACCAGCAGCTCCTCATAGAAGCGAAAAGAAACTCCCAAAAGAAGAGATCAGGCCAGAAAACAAAAGATATACGAAGCTAGAAAATCGAGATGAAATCTATACAGAAAAAAGAAAAATGGAGCAGTATAAAGAAAATGAGCAGAAAGTCTCTTTCAATGATATGGCACAACGTATTCAAGCTTTAGAAAGGAAATTAAATAGCTTGAATAATAATTAGAGTCTAGAGACTCCAAATCGCTCCTAAAAGTAGCCAAAGTTGAACGAACAAAAGCTCTAGTCAGCCAAGAAGGAAAACTTGAAAGACAGAACAGAGCAGAAACAAATACAAACCAAAACAAGGAAGAATATAGAGAAAACACAAAAAGAAGAGTGGGGATAGAAAGAGCAGAAAACAATAGGAATAGGAGAAGAAAACAAGAGAGTATAAAATTAGGTGCGCACAACATCAATGGAATTAAAGGAGATAATACAAAAGTAGAATTATTAGCAGAATATGGTAAGTCAGAAAACTATAATATTATTGGAATAGTAGAAACTAACATAGGAGAACAAGAAGGCAAGTGGATAAATATGAAAGAATATGGATACTCAAGCTTTTGGACAGAAGCAGAAAAAGGAAAACATAAAGGCTCAGGAATCAGGCTTCTAGTCGATCAAAATTGGTTAAGAAATATGGGAGTCTGTAAAAGGTTTAACCCATATTTGCTTAAGGCCGAATTTTTTTTCAGAAGAGTAGTCTTTCAAGTGTGGATAGTATACCTACCTCCAAAGAATGAAGAAGTAATGAGAAAAGTATACAAAATCCTAATAGAAGAAATTACCAAGAATAGGAAAAATACAGTATACACGATCTTAGGAGATTTCAATATAGTATTAAATGAAAGACTAGACATGAGTAGTAGAGGAAGAAGAAATGCAGATACTGGTACAAAAATCACAAAATGGTTAAAGAATACTGATCACATAGAAACCTTTCGATTTGTGAACCCAGAACTAATTAAATATTCATAGTCAAATGGAAACGTATCAACTAGAATAGATCACATCTGGACAACACAAGATATGAGGAGTTTAATTTAAGATAGTGGTATAGAATCTATGGAGACGGTAACAGATAGTGATCATGGAATAGTCTGGGTACAACTAGACAGCGTAAGTATGTTAGAGAAAAATAAGCAAAGAAGCAAGAAAAGACAAAAGGAAACAAGAAGACTATACCAATACCATAAGACAACGGAAGAAAACTGGTACAACTACAGTTAGGAAGTAGAAAAGATCATCAGAAATGCAGAAAGAAGGAAAAAAAGAGGAAAAAACCAAATAGAAATGGAGCTTGAGACAGATATTGATGAAGAATAGGAACTAATAGCTAAAGCAATACAAGCAGCAGCAAGTAAACACATTCCTTCAACAAAAACTCAAGATTCCAAAAGTCAAATAAGAAAAGAAGCAACGAAATCGCTAATATATAGCAGAGCTAAGGTCTTAGGAAGAATATTTAGAAAAGGGTCTAAAGACTTAGGACAAAGCATAGACAAGTTAGAGAAAGCAATTCTTAATGCACGAATAGAGCATCTCAACACAGAATATAGGATGAACATACCACTATTACTAGAATTCTGGAACAGAGAATTTTGTGTTGAAATTAAAGAATGGTGAAACATACTAAAAGAAAAAGCATGAAGAGAATTGCAAGTTGCGAGAGAAAAAGAAATAAAAGAGAAAATAGAGGAAAGATTTGCACTAATGCCTAAAAGTCAAAAGCAAATGCTAAACAAGTTGCTTGAATGTCCTCACAATAAGATCGTAGTAGATAGAGTCATAGTACAAAGCCAAAATAAGTTTGAAAGCAAAAAGTTAATTATAGAAAGCAAAGATGTCAAGTAGGAGGTAAAAAAGTATTTCAAAAAACAATTCAAAAAGCAAAATTATAAATTCGAGCAACTAGATTGTGAGTGGGCAAAT